CACTAGCACTTGCCTGTACATTTTTACTACATCAGCAGTCAGTGCATTGCGATGTAGACGAAAGCGAAGTAGTAAAATGAAAAGATCATTTTGGATGGTAGCTCCCACTTGAAGTATGTCGTTTAGCGATTTTTGGGTAGATGTGCGACACGACGCGTCGAAGACAACACGTAGCTTTGTTGTGGTACTGGTGGGCCGAAGTACGCAGTGGTGAGGGATGTAGAAATGTGGGCTTGACAAGTCAACGTTTTCAAGTTTCGTCATGTGGCCCATTGCCTCATATTCTTGCATAAAATCTACATATTGTGACTTAACTTCCGGTTGCGATTGAAGGCGACGTTCGAGCGAAATGAATCGTCTAAGCGCAGTACCATACGCTGTACCCAGAAGAGCGACATCGTTCTTAAAGGGCAATTGCACTATGACTCGACCCGTAGCATCACGATCCACGGTCTTCACAAAAAATGCTTCACAAGCAGCCTGTTCATCGGTGAGTGTAGATGCATTGATAGTCGTATTGTCGATTTGCCACAATCCCTCCAATTGCTGCTGTATTATTTCCTCACAAGATAACAAACACGATGCTACGTTGATAGATGCTGGACCATTGGTAAGCGAAGTATCCGGTACGCTGCATGAAGTAGCCAGCGACGACGTGAGTGAGGGTGGAATGGATGCTGCGATAACTGTTGGTGAATTGTATTTGCCAGCAACGATCCACCCCAGCAAAGTCTTCTGCAAGATTGGCAGAGATTCCATTAACTTAATTTGCCCGATGGATAGGACGTTGAAGAAGCAATCAGTTCCTAATAGCAAATCAACTCCCTGCGATTTGTGAAAATGTTCGTCGGCCAGATTTATATTCGCTGGCAAGTTCCAGGATGAAACGTCTATGTCAGGCACTGGTTGATGTGAAATGTGTGGCGTTACGCAAAACTCAAGTGGCAACTCAAAATCTGAATGACGTGATTTGATGGTAGCTATAGCCTTATGCCTCATGGTTGTTGGTGAATTGCCGATGCTTAAAATTTCCACGCGTTGCTTCTTCCTTTGCAGGCGTAGACGTTGCGAAAAACTGTCAGTTATAAAATTTACTTGTGAGCACGAATCAAGTAATGTTCTACCAAGTTCGTAATTGCCTGCAGGATCTCGCACTAATACGATTGCGGTTGCAAGAATTACTTGCTCGAAGGACGAATTACCCAAATGAGTGTGTACAATCGCACTAGCGTCGCGCGATGTCGTTGAACTCACTTCAGATTTTCTACATAGCGACGAATGATGGCGAGCTGAACATGATTTGCATTTGAAAGTCGACGGGCATTTTGAAACGAAATGCCCTGGAGCAAGGCAGTTGTTGCACAATCCAAGTTTCTTTACATTTTCGAAGCGCGAGCCGACATCTAGCGATTTATAACGAGGGAAGTCTTTGATGACGTGTTCGTTGCTGGAACATAGAACACAATTAAACTGGGAACTTGTGATAGAAAAGGCGTGGCGACGCTGTTGATTTGCCTTCCGCGATGATTTGGATTGCTCAAACTTCTGTGACGACGAGTGTGCTGTATCTTGTTTGCCGCTGGAATCAATGGACACAAAATATTGGCAGCGCCTTTCGAGTAGTTTGGCACAATCATTCCACGTCGGCAAGCTCGTAAAATCGAGCGACTCCTTCCATTTTCGTTGAGTGTCTTCATCTGCCTTTCCAATCACAAGATGTATCAGCATTGCGTTGGCTATGTCGCGGTCTGAACCCAAAGACGAATGTGCGCTGTACAGCGCCGATGCTGTGTCTACAAGATGTCTTAACTGGCTACTTTGTTTAGCTGCTGCCGGAAGCTCAAAGAGTGACGTGATGTTTTCCATGAATATCAAAGTGGGGTTGTCATAGCGCGACTTCAGTCGTTCGAGCGCCTTAGGATAATTCTCGTTGCTAACTTGAAACGCCTTGACGGTGTCGAGTGCTGGACCCTGCAAACAGTTCAACAAATGATTAAATTTTTTCTACGTTAGATAAAACCATTTCCCGATCTATTATTTGCTTGAAGGATGTAATGAAGTTGTTGTATTCTGAATATTTGCCACTGAATGAGGGCAGTTTAACTGACAGTGTTGACTGTAAAGTTGAAGTGTTTACTTCTTCACCCAATTGTGATTCAATTTCAAGCTTGATTCCTATATACAATTCTTCCAGATCGCCACAAGAATTGTCATCAGGGTCCAGCGCTTCAATTTGTGTTTGATATGACAGAATCTGCTTAAAATATGATTCGGCTATTCCAAATCGACACTTTAGTTCCGCAGAAGATAATGTTCGACCATCGCCACGACCGTTTGCATCGATCACACTTTTAATACGGCTGATATTTCGCTTTGTATTTGCACGATGCTGCTGTAATTCCGTCAAGTTCATTTTGACAGTGTTCAACGTAACAGCTGTCAACAAACGAAGACGACAGCTGGGTGTGAGGGTGCAAATATGTAAGCAAATTAAGTTCAAACGGTGGAAGTCTTTGCTAAGCGTTGTGCTAAATTTTATTGAGATATGTAGTTATGCCAACTTAACGAAGAGCGATGGCTTGATGATTCGTATGGTCGAAGTAGTTAAAGATGACTCGAAGTGTAAATGTTCGCCAAAATGTTCGATAAAAGGGTTTTCTTACCGACTTGCGTAAATTGCAAGATTACTAAATCGTGGGCACGACAAACGAGTGAAAAATAATCTAGACAAAACTAACGAAAACACACGTCTGTTTGCGAAGCTGCTCTAATTTTAACTGGTTCTCTTTTTATTTTCCATTTAATGTGTACATAGATTCGGAGTTCGAGTTCCAATACAGTTGCAATGATATAAAGTGACAATTCCGTTCTCTTAAATACTTTTTAAATTGCAAAAGCGAACTCGTTACCAAATGCCGTAATCTTAAAAAGATTCCAACACAGATGCCTTGATTCGGACCATGTAATAATTTAAAAAAGGGGTCACACAAGTACTCTCCACTTCAAAATTTTTTGATTAAACTAGACTTGAAGTGCTTGAAATTTGCAGACCATTCAATTGGCAGTCTCCAACAAAAAAACATATTGCAAACAAAAATATTTACTGATAGAGATGCAATTTCACTTTTAAATTGATTATCGTCAGAGTTAACTTTTCATTTTTATTTTAGGTGTGTTGGATGACAAAATCTGCATGGGCGTAGCCCCTAAACTCCAAATCGTTTCCTATATATTCAAAAATAGTACAAGGAAATGCTAGCTCGATAAGTTGCCCCCCCCCCCTTCCCCCCTCTAACTTTCAAGTTTTTTCCTATGTATACATATACTATATATAAAATCATACAATGCTAACCAAATAATTTGTAAATTTTCATAATTAAAAATGTGAATATGTGGATTATCCGGTTCTGTTTCAAGTTATTTTCGCTAACTTCAAAGTAATTCCATTTAAGAAGGGTAAAAACTTGGCTGTAGTCGACAATGAGCGAAGAAATGGATTGAACGGTAAACTGATAATTAAATTTATAGTTCAATTGTTTATTACTCTGTCTTTACGTTTGTGTCTTCTAAGTGTACATCGAAAGTTTGTATGAGAGAACAAATGTGAGATTATTGATAAAACTATAGACCGGTTTGGTGAACAGCCAAGACGTTTACTTCTTAGGTAATTACAGCTTAAAACGATGTATACATTTTTAGTTTATCTTACAAAATTGCAGAGGTATATTACATAATATACCAGAGGTTCCCAAACTTATTTTTCTCGTAGACCCCTTTCAAAACTTTACAGGTTTCGGTGGAACATCTGATGCTCATTTCTAAAATATTCCCAAAGCTCATCAAAAATTGTGAAGATTAAATATAACGATTTAATTTTGCATCGCGGGTGAGTTCCAAAACTGATTCGGAGTGGCAAGCATACAAATAAAATATTTTCTTGTGGTCTATTTAATAAAATTATGTGATTATACACTTGCAAGTTTTAAAAAAACAGAGCTCGTAAAGCCATGAAAGAACTATCTCGCTCTGAGGAGTTGTATTTTTTAAGAGCAATAAATAAACCCCTCAAATGTTCGGCTCACTCGTGAATTTGCATGTGATGTATTTTTCAAATAGTTTATTTGTGTTGATGGCATAATTTTTATTTTTATCGCTCCGAGTTTTGAAGTGATGCAAAAAATATTCATCACTCGCATTTTTAAAACACAAAACTTGAAACAACAAAACTGCAAAGCTTTTATGCCAAACTTCAAATTCAGAAACTGACAAAAAACAAAAGAACGAATCTAGATAAATCGATGATAAGCAAACAAGCAAGCAAGAAACTCAAGAAGTGTTCCACCGTCTCATCCTCTTCAAAGCAGGATGGGAAAATGGAGTTGTCATTTACGCCTACTACAGTCAGGTGTTTGTCCCACGTGAAGTGACCAGTCAGCAGTCCCGTCTTCTAAGTAAGAGGATAAAACTATATAGACCTTCTGAGAGTGAAGGCACCATGAGTTTTGCCCACCTGCATCCACTCGATGGCTCCCAGTCATTGCTGAGCGAAGTATCCACCCAGTTTCTGATGGTGGCTTCGATGGCCGAAGTGGGGAGTGCTATAACTGGTTACGGATCGAGGAATGCCTGGTCAGATGTCTCATTTCCAGGCACTCAAGAGTTGCCCGGCACCCAGAGTAAAGGAAGCTCGTTATCTTTACCAACATAATTTAGTCGAGACTTGCATTGCCGAACTAGTTTGGAAGTACTTAGATAGAGGGCTGACTAATGCCTTAAGTGCAGCTTGGCTGTATCTGTAGACAGTTTTGGAGCCATCAGTGAAGATTCGACAATGTGCAACTGCGGGCTTATTGCTGGAATGTCTTCAACAAAGGTAATGGTGGCGTACTATCCTGTATCATTGAAGTGCTCAAATATCTGCCGCCGGCAATTTCCGTATCGCCCCACTCAGTGTTATACCAACATCCGTTTCTTTTTAGTCTGCAGGTGTCCTTTAAGGCTTCCTGACGTATGATGACACAAAGTAAGTTCACCAGTGCGTCAAGAGCACTACACATTAAACTTAAATAAATAGGCTATCAAGCAACCAATTTGGTTGTTCACTATTGAGACCAGATGATTTTTCGTGGACCCCCACATACAACTCGTGGATCACCATATTTTTTCACGCCAATGTAGACCCCTGCAGAGTCTCCCGTGGACCCCTGAGGGTCCACCTAGACCACTTTGGGCATCACTGTAGTATCCGGAAAATTTATTTTTATTTTTTATTTAGAATAACGTTTTGTCCGGCTATTTGGTATTCAGGTATGTAGAGCTATGAATTTAAAAAATACATCAGGTTTTAGTTGAGATATTCGCCTTTGACCACTATGCTTGGCAAATTTCCCAGAACAGCAAAGCTTGTGCCATTCACCTGGGAGTGGCCAGAAGAGTTTTATTTGCTTACGGTTCAAATCGCAGCTCAATTCGTCCGGATATTTATATCCACTTATCCCCCCATGCGCTGGGTTCGGGTCCCTGCACGTTACAACCCTACCCAATGAAAAAAACCATGCCTCGGATGATATCCCCTTCTTTTGATGGCGATTACGGCTTCGGGGGTATGCACCTGAAATATCCGGACCCATAGTAGGTTCCTCGGAAAAATAAAGACTGACATCACCGTCATCCATAAAATGCGATGGACGGGGTAAGTCAAGGAAATCGTGACAGATTTGTCTCATTTTCCGATTGTCTCGTAACCGATTTGCCTCATTATCCAATTCGGCACATATCTATACTAATTACAGTGACGAGCAAAACTGTAACATGGTTTAACACTTTTTGTTTCA